CTATCTCATAATTATGAGATAGCAAAGCCAGAATTATCAGATAGTATTTCATATTTATGAGATAGTTAAGTCATAATTATGAGATACAAGTTTTTTTTTTCAGGGTGGCAGAAATGGGCTTCCACAACAAGAGAGCTAAATAATGAATGTGTTGGTGGCATTTTTCAACATTTTATTTTGCACCTGGCGCCCCATAGTGGCCTACTATTTAAACCTTTTAATACTCTTAAATTATAAGTCAGTACAGTATTAAAAGGCTACGCGAATTCGATTACTGCACCTTGATTGGTCAAAATGCGGATAAAGAGCTGTCAATCATTTTTACTCAACATTGATTGGGTGTCGCTTCAAAACATCTCCGCCTACAGGAGCTAAGAAGCAGAGCTATTCACGAACGTTTTACGTCATTTTATAGCGCAAATGTCCCCGTTCGTCTTTAAAGTACGCATCTGTCGGTGGAAACGTACCTTTGGCAGCAGGTAAGGTCAGAGAGAACAGAGCGGAAAAGGTTCGTTGACGGGGCAAGGAGAATATTTACCTGCTGCCTACAAAACAACTCAAGAATAAATGGAAAACAGTGAAACGGCACTGGTCGAGAGCCTGATAATATGGGTGAGTTATGCGACCAAATATATGACGGAACCGCGGATTGTTCGCATATTTTGTTATTCATAACGTTAGCTTCTGAAGGAAAATGAAATAGATGTGAAGCAAACCAAGTGGTCAGGATGGTCAAAGTGAACTTAGGTTGTGGTAGAAATTAGCTTTAGCTTCATGAAGCAACTGTTTGCTGCAACCCAACAGTAAGTGTCGCAAAATTTGAGCAACGKAGGCAGGTGTCGTACATACATGAAAGGCTCATAAAGTTATTATCCAGTAATAACAAACAAATCTCTACTTTCATTGAGCTTAGATTGTTTTTAGACAGTAGAGGTGTAATCACGACAGCTTTATCATACAAAATTATATGGATTTGTTTGTTTGTCGCTGTGATTTTCAATTCATTCACAAGTTTGCAATCAATTTGATGTGATGCCCACACAAATGTGTGTGTTATATGGGCCTTATGATGACAATAAGGACCAATGATTTCGTTTTGCCTTGATCTAATTGAATCATTAATCATATAT